AAAAAAAAAAAAAAAAAAATTTAGCTCAGAGCGCCAAGGGCTAAAACAGTCCTCCAGTATAATCAGGTGCAGAGACCTACCTATGCATGCAGGGTTGTCTGTCGAGCAGGGCTCTAATTATATTGTAAAGGGCCTGGAACTTGGAATGAGGAGTCCTGGATTCAATTCTTGGCTGTGTGATCTTGGACAAGTCTCTTAACTGCTGTGGCCTGCAACATCTTCATCTAAAAACAGAGGATAACACCACCTGCCTTGTAGGGTAGGTAAGGATTAAATGGAGCCCTGCTGGTGCAGTGGTTAAGTGCTCAGCTGCTGAACAATAGGTTGGCAGGCAGTTCAAATCTACCAGCTACTCTGTAGGAGAAAAGACCATAAAGAGTACAGTCTGGGAAACCTTGTGGGCCCGATCTCCTGTTCTATATATAGGGTTGCTGTGAGTTGAAATCAATGGCACACAGCAATAAGGGTTAAATGTGTTCATGAGCACTTTGTCAGTGATGATGTGCCATGTGAGGGTCACATGTCTTTATTAATGGAGTCTCTGAGTTCAAAATGCAGAGAGGTGTGTGTCTCCATGTGGCACAGATGCCCGACGAGGCACCCCAGAGGCTGTGCACAGGGCTGGGACCCTTTCCTCCCTGTTTCACGGGCACAGTGAGCAAACCCACGCCTGGGGTTGGTTCATGGTTCTCCTAGGACAGATGTCTTTCCTGTTTCTTCCATACCCCGTCCATCTTGGCAGGCCCTGGTTCAGATGTTTCCAGTGAAGCGTCCTCCACGCTGACGTTGGCCCATGCTGATCTCCACCTCTCCTCATCCAGGCCCACAGATAGCTCCTCAGGCCCTGTGCCTTTATTGCTGCACTGTTGCTTTTGCTTCTCTGCCTAGAACCTAAGTTCCTGGAGAGTGCAAACTGTTGTTTCATATTCTCTCCACCCCTCCTCAGAATTCAGCACATGAATTGGAGGGGCCGGTCCACATCGAAGCACATTTTGAACTAAAATGCTCAAAAGCGACCTTAGTGACATCTTGTGTGGATTGTTTACTTTTGCTGTTTAAGCCCCACCTGAAAGTCCTTGGTTCCCATGATGAAACATTACTTCTTAGCATGACCTAGCATTGGGAGGATGATGATGCCTTGTTCTTCAGCCCCCAGGTCGCCCTCGATGCCGCAGCTCCCCTTCCTGCTGGAGCTCACCTGTGGGAGCCTTGGCCATGGCGTCACTCTCAGAGCCCGTGACTTTCCGAGAGTTCTGTCCCCTGTACTATCTCCTCAATGCCATCCCCACAAGGATCCAGAAGGGTTTCCGCTCTGTCGTGGTCTACCTCACGGCTCTCGATACCAACGGGGACTACATCGCAGTGGGCAGCAGCATCAGCATGCTGTACCTGTACTGCCGGCACGCCAACCAGATGAGGAAGTACAACTTCGAGGTGAGTCTTGCTTCTCTCTGCCACGTCACACCCAACGTCACCAATGCCTCACATGCTTGCACACTCCAGGATGGCCTTGTTCACCTCTGATTTGCAGAAATGTGGCCGCAACTTCTCCTTGGGCAGTACTTTCAAACTACCTTAAATCACGCAGTGTTTTTAACTGGTTTTTCTCTCCCTCCAAAAATCTGGCACCACTTTCAAAGAGAACACGTTAGTGTTTTAACACTTACTGGAAATACTTTGGAGGAGCCCTAGTGGTACAACAGTGATGTGCTCAGCTGCTAACTGCAGGGTTGGTGGTTTGAACCCACTCAGCGGCTCTGCGAGAGAACCACCTGACCCTCTGCTTTTGTAAAGATGACAGCCGGGAAGCCCCGTGGGGCGGTTCTGTTCTGTCCAGAGCATTGCTGTGAGTCACAC